TTAAACGATCGGGTGGGATGGGAGTAGTATTCGACGAAATAAATCGAAAACCACTCGTAGTAATGCAAAGGTTTCCTGTTGACATTGATAGCTTACTCCATTTCTAAATCCGGCTTATGATACTCTCCGTTGAACACTGGAAAGGCATTATGGAAATCAGTTCAATTTGCAACGATGGTTCATACAGCAATGTTATAATTATTTACGTTACTCATAATGAAATCGAAGATCACTGGTTCGTATATATTCTATCAGCAAGATATTATCAATTGATGGTGAATCTAATTGTTATTTGCTTTACTGCCTTGATTTGATTTATCATACATATATATTTCATTTATACATCAAACTACCCTCACAAGCAAATCATTCATTCAATAACAGGATATGCGCTAGACCAGAGCTAGGTGATCATTAACAGTGCTCTACTCGGCTTAGTTAGGAAATGTCATGATTAAGGCGATGTCACAGATTAGCTCCAGTTTTAACTGACTTTTTTACTTTTGTTCTTCATGATACGTAACTTTGTGGAAAGCAACTAATGACAAAAACGTGGGATCGTCTGATAAACCGAAGTAGTTTCTAGAGCCTAAGTTTTAGCGGCTACCGTATGAAGGATTGTCATGAATCCGGAAACTGTTGGCGACCGCCTGTTGATAACTGCGACTGACAGAGCAGCACCTTCGTTTCAAGATAGTGATGTCTCAAATGCGCACGTCACACTCCTACTATAAACCTAGACGGAAAGTTTGAGCACCATATTTTGTACCAATTCCTAAAAAAAAATTGTGATGAAATTATGACTCTACCTTGTCATCAGAAAAGGTGTCTAACTGAAAAGAATGACTACTATCTGAGGGATCCTGGATTTTATGTATGAGGAAACGAGGGAAACGCGTTTTTCTTTCCACTAGATGGTAGAGATCTGAGATTACCAGAATTGAAACGTTGTTCATGATTTTGTTTATGTAAAAATCTTGCACATTATGAGTGACACATCTATCCAACGGAGGACGCTAGGGTTTTATTGCAATTGGTCTGGAACGATGAATCAAGAAAACGAAGTTTCACATAACGATTCTATCTTCTATCGTTTCTCCAGACGTACACGGAGTAGTAGCAGCGTCCGTTGTTTGCATTAGCCTCGGAACCATTTTTAACAGACCATGATTCCATGTCATTATGGTTCTTACAGTGCATGAATCCGAAACGGTTTCACTTTGTTGAATCGACGAAACCGCATGTGATCTTTAGACATATAATAAAAATTGGCCTCGGAATTCTGGATTACTAGAAAACTGCTAGTTTTCATCATTGAGACTCGTACCTGTCATTTGACTTGTCCTCAATATGGGTATGTCATGAACGCAAGTCGACGCAGCTGCAACAACCTCAATTCTCCGTTTTCTGCCTCCACCGCTATTATCATTGGATCATCCCGGAGTGTTCTTGGCGACCGAGCAAACATTTTTTATCGAGTGGAAACCATTTCGAATTTTCTGACGTCTATCGGTTGTCTCTCATGCGAAATGCCTGACCGGGCCGGTGTTCTTTGGGCTTCGTAGAAGGCACGAATCTGTTAATTCAGTCTGAGTCTGAGACTCCAGTCTGAGTCTGTTAATTCAGTCGGTTATCGAATTTGTGCACTCGGAAAGTAATCCTAAGGGAAGACTTTTCAAAGCTTTTGCTTCATCACTCATCGTGTGGCCATTGGCTTGATTTCATAAGCCTTAGAAAACAACCTTCGACACCGTCGATCGTAACGAATAGGGTAGTTGAATGGCACAGTTATTCATTCACCCGCATGCTCAACTCATTGTCAAGTAATGATGCTCTAAAGCGACTAAAGCTTGTTATCCTCTTCTTCCTCTGAATTGCATACTGTATAACAGGATTCGCACACGTGGTATTTTTGTTAATTATTCCTCGAAATCTAAAGAAGATTTGTCTTTCAACGGACGACATAGAAAACTTCGGGAGAAGGTTGAGTAGGATTGCAAAATATCATCTGTTCTACTTTCGTCGAATCAACAATCCGTGTCTTAACGAAACTTGATCAACTAGCGAAAGATCTGATTTGACAAACCACGTATGTCTTGCAGCGGTTGTAAGCGACAGTAGGCAAGAAAAATACTTTTTTCACAAAGAAACATCCACGATTGCAAAGCACATTGGTGGCTGTTAGACCTTGGCCATAATCTTGAAACGAACGTTATACTCTGTAGCTTTCTTTCAGCGATTGCCTCTCCATAATAGGTCACGTGTCTGTACTGTAAAAAACAGACAGTAGCAAACGTTAGGATCGCTTTGCAATCGAAGGTCTGCAGTACTGATTCCTTTCAACCGCTAGGAAAAGGCGACAAGGTGCATCACAAACAGAGGTACGTCGACAGCGAGGCAATGGCAATTGTACTTTCAGATTTTATCACAGATGATAAAATTGTGTTTCAGGTATGTGAGCAATTACATAATTGATCACAAGGATTGGAAATCATGTCATTTAATCGTTAACGGAAAATGCATTGAAGAGGGAAGGGTACAGGCTCAGAGTGAGGTCATCCGGCTATACGTTTGAAATGAACCGGTTGAACTATACCGCGGCATAAATGTCCCTTGTTGATTACTAATTCCATTTAACGAAACATTGAGTCACAGGGTTTCAGAGCAAATAAATGAGAAACGGGTAGCTAACCGCTTACAGCAAGTAATGAGGAGAGCATATTGTTTTGGTATGATCAACTGCGTGAGAAAAATCGCGATTCTGCCTAATGCGTCAGCTTTGTGGTTTAACTCCCCTATATACAAAATTTGTACAAAATTGATCAGCTCATCACAAATAAAGCAAAACAGTGTTTACTCTTCCCTCGAAGAAAGACCCTTACGTTATTCTCAATCTGTCTTTTATGAAACCGTCATCTCTTCCCCATCGCAATAACGGTATTGACAAAAGAATCAGTAATTGTAACTCGACGATAGGAAATTCTGTGATTATGCCAAATATTTCAATGGTCTGTCTGTTTAGAAGTTTATTCCTCATAACCCTTTTTCTATGCGTCAAGTTCAGCAGTATGGAACAGACGTGTAGCAGGAACAGAACCAAAGTACATAAACAAAGATGCATTGTGCAACCGTTGGTGAATGATGTATGCAAACGTTTCATGATTTGTGATGAGTGCCACCGTCGAAGTATCCAAGTTTTGTCATCGCAACGTACTGCTGCTCCATTACTTCGAGCACTTCGGTGGCAAAATCCAGCTCTGGGTTCTGGCTTTCCTCCAAAACCTAACGAACGATGTAAAATATTAGATATATTCATTATTAAGATATAATAGGGTAATGTGTTATTGATCATTGCATGTGTTTTATCCTTTCTGGTAATATTCCTGTGGAATTATATATCTTTAACAGAGAAAAGATTAAATCAAGAAAAAGACAACAACAAAAAAATAAAGAACGAACACTCCCATCTCTGTGAAAGAGATGCTCAGAATCAAGAATCGTTTTGAGAAGTTTAATAGTCTCACTCATGACAAGGGCAAGTGAATCACTTACTATTAAGACTTTTG